AGAAAGATGCCCTGCTTTGTTTTTTCTTTTTTTTTTTTTTCATTTTTTTTCTACTTGTTTCCTCTTTTTCAAAGTATGTTCGTGAAGTTTATGGATGAACAAAAGAGCCACTGACAAATACCAAACATTCTTCTGAAATACCTGACTTCTTTCTAGTTATCGATATCATCCCGTAACTCTAACGTTACCTTCTTCGACAGTTCAACCTTTACCGATCACCCGCGGGATTAGTTACTTTTGCATTTAGAATCGATTTCCGTTTTATCACGTGACTCAGAATTTCTGTACCGGATGTTCAATGCATACAAATGCGCATGTGTCCGCCTTAAAATTTATTTACCCTGACTGATAAAAATATTTCATTTCCTAATTAAATAAAAGGTAACTTTTTTTTTTTTTTTTTTTTTTTTAACTAGGAGCGCCCGTCTTGTGAGATGAATATAATTCAAACCCTCGTTTGATTTCATCCATAAATTTATATGCCATGTCCCTTCAGGGCATGTGCAATCATGACTCTCCACAACTTCCTATCCTATGTAACTCCTAGTAATTTTTCACTTTTTATTATCTGGAAAGCTTGAAAGGTAGGTTACTCGATGATTTCCTCAGTCCATTTTATCTTCAATATGCCTTGTGAGTTTTAATACTGTAAGCCATCTTTCATTTATGTCTTCCATGCTCCGACCATGGTGTTCTCAGTATTCTTCTATGGAACCTCAAGTTTTCTCTTCATATGTGAGGAAATTGTCCAACATTCAATGCTATATAAAAGGCTTGATATTTTGTAGCAGAGCAACGGTCTTTCCTTTGTTTTTAAAACAATCTTTTTGTGTCTCTTAATACTATGCTTAACTTTTGGAAGTCATCTTTCTCTATTCCAATGTATCTTCGAATTTCGGTGTCATATTTTCCGTTCTAATAAAATTCTTCCTAGATAGATTTCTGTATTCATCCATAAATACATTTTATTAAAATCCTTTTCAAGTCCCGAGTAACTGGTATATATTTTAGGTATTTATTTGGCATATTCCAGTTTTTATTTTTTTAAGCATTTGGTCTGTATTTGATTGTAAAGGATGTTCCAATAACTTGGACTGATTTTAAATGTGAATTAAGTTTAAGCGTCTAATGATTTTATTCTTTTTCTTTCAGATTTGGCGGACATTTGGGCGATATTATTTTTCACAAATAATTGCCATGACTTAAATAACATGATCCAATAAAGAAATAAATAAATTTTCACCAATAACACTGATTTATTTAATACTGACTTTGATCCGTCTTAATGAAACACCCTTATATATAATCCGTCTTAATGAAACACACTTTATTTGTATTTGGCCTTCTTTTAAAAATGTTTATTATGAAATTTCATATTTTCTATCAGAATATTTTCTCTTTTCCACCGGCAAATGACTTCCAATAAAGACGCTTTTATGTTTATTATCTATGATTGTCATTCGATTTTATTGCATTTTTTATATTGATTATCATATTTATATCTGTTAGCTATTTGGGGGATGTCTGTCAATTGTCGTATTTAATTTATTGCTACCACTGATCTTTTCGTATAATTAACTTTCGATTTGTTCATCTTGTTATTAAGTTTTTCCTTTCCTATTGGGAATCGTTATAAACACATTTGCTTATTGGTAATCGTAATAAGAGAACTTTCCAATTTTAATGAATTATGAATTTCTCCCCCTCGCTATCTATCTATCTATCTATCTATATATATATATATATATATATATATATATATATATATATATATATATATATATATATAGAGAGAGAGAGAGAGAGAGATGACGATATATGTCAGCACTCCTCAAGGCACTTAATGTAGGCCGCTGTGTTAAGTCTAAGGCCCTGTGGGAAGATGGAGACATAATGTTGCCATCAATAATCAATACAAGCACCATGATGCTGACTGGATATATCATCCAACTCTTTCCGAATCGTCTGCACTCTCCTCAGATTGACACCTAAATACTCTGAAATGTTCGGATTGGAGCTTCCGGCGCGAATGCCAAGTAGAACAGCATGCAGTTTCCAAATCTCTGTCGGAGTGAATTGCGTCATGGTGCTCTTTTTTTCACAGACGGTGCCCAACTGACCCTACTATTCTGTGCAGTGGGCAAAAACGAACAACACGCATGCGCGAAATTAAAAATATAAAATGGTGACAATTTACTCATTGCACTCTGTATAATGATATATGAGGGTAGGAAAGTCAATATTGCTGCACAAGGGACTGGAAATATTCATGGAGTGTATTGGATGTATCATTTAAACGAGTGAAATTGACGGAGATGGTTTAAATGGCGTTGGCCTCTACTTTAGTCACGCGCCAAGAACAGGTCTGCTGCTGCTGTCTGCTGCTACTCCTGGAAAATAATCTCCAAAGCTCAATCCAAGAGATTCAACGGTTCATTATCATCAGAAATAATCTGAAAAGTTGTCAGCAGAATACTGCATCCTTACGCATCTCGATAATTTTTTTCTTTCTTTATGATAGATTGGAAACTAGAGTTGAAAAGATTTTAAAAGAATATACAGTGACATATAAAATGGTTTTGTGACGGTGAATCGTTAAAAAAAATCAAAATGCCATACACTGGGGCTATCATGTCGTTTTCTATTCTTGACTGACTAAGTAGAATATTGCATGCAGTTAGTTATCGTTTCTTTCTGCTGTTGATTGGTTGCTTACCAAAGCTATAGGACCCATTTTGTCGTGATATTCAACCCATGGACGAGAGAAGAAACGGCTTCCGTTATTTCCCAGGCATATTTGCGCGTAAGTCAATGAAATGAATCCGACTGGAATTTGAACTCGGTCCTCCACTATCTCATTCTGAGTCGTTATCTATTACAGCACACTGCATATCATGATCGTGAAAATTGACTAAAGTACAATCCAAATGGATCTCCATTCAAGGTAAATCTTTGGTTGGATTGTGTTGGTGTGGCTAACTTTGAACTCCTCTCGATCACTCTGTCAAATAAAGCCAACTCCTATTGAGAACCTTTACAACGTTCAAATGCTGTTTTAAATAGATAAAGATTTACTTTGCAATGGTGTGCTGTTCTATGGTCATAAATCACGACAAAATACAGCAAATATAACAATCCTCTGAAAAGGATTAATTTTTCAAAATGTTCCACACCATCCTAATTTTTCAGGTCTTGATTGCTCGCTAGAGATTACAGAACTAACATGATGAACTTGTTCTTAAAAGCTACCTTCAAGCCAAGAATTTAATAAAATGATATTTTTAAGCTTGTGATTCTGGAAAGATGGCTATAAAGATGGAACCTAATTTGACATGAAATTTTCAGATTTTTTCTGAATCTAAATTCTGACATTACTTACGCGACTAGCTGGCTGATCTCTCTTTCTCTGCCGGTCTCTCCTATCTATCTATCTATTTATCGCCATATATATATATATATATATATATATATATATATATATATATATATATATATATATATAAAGATAAAAGTGAACATTGAAATCAACACTTAGAGGCGACAGACTGTTTCATGATAGACGCAATCGTCAGGCCACAATTACGTCTAGCATTTAACAGACTGTCGCCTCTAAGTGTTGACTTCAATGTTCACTTTTATCTTTACACACGGTCTCTGATATTGAGCACTTTATCCCATAAATATAGCACACCTTAAGAGTATATTTCTTTATATATATATATATATATATATATATATATATATATATATATATATATATTCAGTTGTATGGATATCCATACAACTGAATGTGCTAGCCTTTATCACTGATATTGAGCACTACATTAAGTGCCTTGAGGAGGTAGTGCTGACCTGGCTGAAGAGTGGGGCTTCTGAAATACCCTATGCCTGGCAACAGGACGCTGCACCATGTCACACAATCAGGAGAACCCTGTCAGACAATTTCCTTCAACGACATCGCCACTTACACCTAACTCCCCAGACTGCAAACCTCTTGATTATCATGTGTGGGGCACAGTTGAACGAGAGACCAACAAAACTCTTAGGATGATGGCAGCATTCATCAATTTAAACAAGGAGTCCGTCCAGAAGAGTTACAGGAAATTCCAAAGTCGTCTGGAGGCCGTGCTTGAAAACCAATAGTGATGTTAGTGAATAAATTTACTCTTTATTATTTCAAGTTATTTTTGTGAAATTTTGGTAAATATATGTGTTAAAATGAGACGTCAATGATATTTTCATTTTTGTCCAAAAGATATACAGGGTGCGATAGATAAATTGTCGTCGAAAGACAACAATTTATCTTTTGGATTTCGTAGTTACGTCTCTTTTTAGGCATTTCAAATTAGTAAATGAGTCAGTTGAATCTTACTGTGATAATGTAAATTGCCCGTTTAAATTTGTAAGAAAACGCGTTACTATGTCCAATTCGTAATTTTAGTTTCGCAAAGATTTCATTGAATCCATTGCACTCAAATTTCGGACATTACATGTGGGATGACCTGATATATGCAGACATTAGGATACGTTGATTAATAACCGCTGGTATAATATACACAGATCCTTAAGTACATTACAATAGTTAGATGTATTAGAGATATTTTAGCTACTTACCAGGATTTATTATTGGCGGCCACAATCTTAACAACTTAAGATATGCAGATGACACACTGCTGATAGCAGACCCAGAAAGGAAACTATTAGGTTGGTGCAAAAATAATGACGTAATAATGTCGTTTTTTGACATTAAAAAATACGTCAAAAAACGACATTATTACGTCATTATTTTTGCACCAACCTAATACAAGAACTCCTACAGAAGTTAGTAGAGGAAAGCAAGAAGAAAGGACTAAACCCCAATTGCAAGCATACAGGATGCATGATTCTTAGCAAACGGGAACAGCCCAACATGCAAATTATAAATTTGAGACACCAAAATCATACACGTACATCAATTTAAATAACTGTGAAGCGTTTTAACAAAGGTCGGGAAGTGCTAGACCTTCCACTAACATCTATCTATCTATCTATCTATCTATCTATCTATCTATCTATCTATCTATCTATCTATCTATCTCGGAAAGTGTTTTAACAGAAGGCGGAACGTGCGACACAAATTCGAAAGCGAATTGGGATAGCGAAAGATGTCTTCTAAAATCCTCTTCTGCTCTCAGATGATTCGACCGGGTGATGATGGTCATATCCCAGACTTTACCTGCAGCTTAAAGATGCAACCCTTTCATAAGCTGTTCCAAGCTTTGCTACTATCTGCCTATTCTTAGTGATGTCAGGCATCTCCAAGACATCCTGCAAAGCAGAAATATTTCTGTGCGCCAACCAGGAAAGGGACAACTTGAGCAGCTGCTTGTTATATTTCTCTGATTTGTCTTGTCAAGTCTTGGTATCCTTGGTATATTTTCGCCTGCTCCGCTTTCATGATGTTTTTTTTTATCACAGGCTCCATTCATGACTGCTCTTCTGCATACGTGTGATATTATTCAGGGCGATTGCTGTCAAAGCGCTTGTCAGTTAATCGTTTCTCACATGAGCTTCACTTGCTCATTCTCGACGGTGGTGAATGTTCGTTTCTGTGCGCTCAAGGCCACACTTCCTAAATAGACCTCAATGTATTCTAAGAGTTACTTTGTCATGGCGCCATCCGTACATTTTTGTGCCATCTAAGTACAACCACTGACAATTTGTTGCACACTTTTAGTTGCTTTCCTATACAGTCTGTACACGGGTAAATCAATTGCTTTATCAATAGCGTACTTTTTTAAAGCATTTCACCCCAAGCAAGGTTGGAGTACCGCTAGCACGCAAGGGGTTAGACAGAGTGAGAGTGAGGGTAAAGAGAGGCGTTTGAGGAAAGGATAAAGAGACAGACGGAAGGACGGGAATCAAGATCAAGGCATCAAATGTCGATTGACATTACATTTGAATATTTGAAGATTACAGCTATCAGTGAAGCAAGTAAGTGGAAAGGAGTTCCACTGTCGGGAAGTGCGAGTGAAGAGGCTGTTGGAGTAGAAGAGGCGGTTACATTGAACTGTTTTGACAGGGAAAGAGTGGAACTGAGATACCAGCCTAGTAGCACGCTTAAATTCATGCAGTTGGGGTACCAGTGAAAGAAGCTCGCCAGAGCAGTTGCCATGAAAATATTTGGAGAAAAGACAGAGGGGAAGCCACAGCACGTCTGTGAGAAAGTGACTGTAGACGAGATGCCAGATGTGGACCTATCACATTGCATATCCTTCTTTGTGTTTTGTCGAGAACCTCGAGATGAAGTGCGGGGGCACCAGACCATATATGGCAATAGTATTCGATGTAAGGACGTATGATAGATTTGTAGATTTGTAGTATGGACTCAGACGAGAAAAATCTTCTGGCGCGACACGGAGAAACAACTTTCCTTGCGATAGATGAAGTTATTGATTCAATGTAGTTGTGCCACCTCAGGTGAGTGGAAAACGTGAGACCAAGAAGGCACTTGATTGAATTTATTCTTAAAGCCTGTTCTTGTGCTGCACATATCATCCCTTCAGTTTCCATCTTCAAGAATCCGTTACTGAGTATATATTAGCAATGTATGACGGTTTCGTTCTCATGTTTTTTTAAATTGTTGTACCCTTTTGCTTTAGTATCCTTTTAA